TCCCGAAGGGCCCTCCGACCAGCAGAGCTTTGGACGCAGCCAGACCCGGGGGCGGGGAGGCGCGCTTCTAAGGCTTTACTGCTGCACTTACGTAGCCTTTGGACTTGCCCCAATCTGGATGCAAACGTCCCTGCAGCGTGGCTGAGTCGCTGCCGTCCTCCCCCAGAGTTCCAGCCCCGTGCGGACTTACCGGGGCTCAGGAGCACTGACTCAGCGGCATGCGGGGCGCAGAAGAGCGAGCCCAGGTCCCCACGCACAGAGACCCGGCGGGGCCCTGTGAGGAACACCCGCAAGGTCCCCGCCCCGCCCGCCACTCCGCAGGAACGCTCCAGACACCCCCAGCCGTGGGATTCTGGTGGAGAACAAACCAAACTCCCCTGGAAAATGGCTTTACGGGTGTAAACGCTCAGCAGCACACCTATGCTACGAAGGAGGGGCCCGCATCTCAGATCACGGCTGACTTCTTGTCCTAAAACCAAATCAGACCAGATGAGGATGGTGCCAGGTGAGAGCAGACATTTCTAACTGGATGGGCACTAGGAACAACGCTGTCCCTGAGCAGACTCGCATGGGCCCCCGAACCCAGCTGCAGCGGGACTGAAATGGACGCGAGGAGCACTGGTTCCTCTACTGTGTGTGACGGGGGCGCTTTTGTTTTTCTTTTAAAATTCATGTTTCAGACATAAACAGCAACAAGGATCACAAGCCACGGGGAGCTGCTTGTGTTCCCTCAGGGTCCAAATAAACAACAAGAAGGGACCAGCAGAGCTGGAGATTCTGTCGGCACATGTGAAAACCCGGCAGCCCGAAAACGCTGCCCAGACATACATCAAACGATTTATAAGACCTTTTCTTATATTTTACTCATAATAAGGTCTTTCTATATTCTAGATTATCAAGACTAAGCATTTGAAAAAATTATTGAGGAAAAAGTCTCTCAAATGGAAAAACACCAGATGCTGTAACAACCTCAGCCTACTGCTGGAGGGAAATTTGAAAACCTCGCAGAGTTGGAAAAGGCCTCCCATCAAAACTCTGGGGGTAAGAACCGAAGATTCATTCAATGCTTGGTCATTGCTCTCATGCTTCTCTGGGTCGTTGGCTTTCTTCCGGTGAAGCACTGCCGGGCAAGAGAAAATGCCACCTCGTGCTTTCAAAGGAACGGAGAACCAGGCAGGGTGTGTGCGTGTCTACGCGTGTCTATGCGTGTGTGTGTGTGTGTCTGAGTGTGGGCAGGGGGTCCTGTGAAGTGACTACAAATTCTCATGATAAAATCATGGCAGAGTTGAGCCTTCTTGATTTTGATGGCGAAATAATGAAGACGTTAAAATAAGCTACATGGGAAAACACCAAGGCATAGAGATTTCATGAAAATAAAACGTCTTTTTGATGCCTTATTCAATGCAAAAAAAAAAAAAAAGCTATGCCTGTTACTGCCTCCCGCTTTCTGCTCTCATTCCCCTACAACTGCACGTGCCGGGGTCGGGGGCTGGGGAGGCAACCCTGCTGCTTCAGCTCAGAGGTTTGTGTCTCTTCCCTCCAGGAGCTCAGAGCAGGAAGGGGCACTGGAAGCAAGTTGCGGGGAGGGAGGTCCTGAGACTGTATTCAAGAGCGAGTGGTTTCCACAGACGGGCCCGCGTTTTTTGCTGGAATCCTAATGGCAGCGCATGCAGCACCACAAGGTGGACTGCACTCATTTAAAACATCCCTTTTCCGCTTATTTAAAATCTGACTTCCTGTACCTTCTACCTTAGTTTTACTTCCTATGCATTAAAAACATGTTACAATGTTCAATGACAACCTTTCCAAGTAACTGGAAGTAGCTATCCTGTCTCCTCCAAATCTTATTTTTTCCATATTCAACACATTCTGTTTCTAGAATGGCTCCTCATGGGAAGGTTTCAAACCCCTCACCGCCCTGTAATTCTCTGCTGAATAAGCCCTAGTCAGTTACCGGTCACTGCCCTGATCCGTTATCAAACAGCGACCATTTATCAAGAATACGCTACATCCCAGAGTGTTCAGAATATCTGCTTTAATCTTCTCAGAAATGCCTTTCTGAGGCAGTATTTCACCTCATTTTTCTGGTGAGGTCACTCAGGTGCAGAAGGTTTAAGAAGTTCCCCCGAAATCGCACGGGTGATATGCAGACAGGTCCGTCTTCACTCCCAGGGCTGGTGGCTCTGGAGCACCCACCACGTCTGCATTACACCAGAAACCCAAATGGGAACGTCTCCAGCTGGGACAGGGTGACCGGCCACCTTCCACTTCTAACCCGACACTGCACTTCCCCGAGAGCAGCCTGAGGTGGCCCTGCTGGTTCACGTGGGTGGGGAATCAACTTAAACTCAAAGAGGAGATTCACCTGAACTGTCACCAAGTCTCATGCCCCTTCCTCCAAACCCACGTCTATTTTGCACATGATCCTTACAAACAGAGTGAAGTTTTACCTCCCCTTCTGCTAAATGTTATCCTGCTACTTGGCTTCAGAGTCCCACATCATCCACTTTGCAAGAAATCTGGATTCTGACACATGGGCTGTTATTCACTTTTAAAGCCCTTATCGCTTGAAAAAATAATGTTGAGCTGTTTTTGTGTGTGTGCACGCACGTGTGCGCGTGTGTGTGTGTTGTGCCTTCATCCAAGACTTGGATAACAACTCAGTTTAGAGGAGAGCAAAGGCTGAAGGGCATCTTCCTGGGACAGTGGTTTTCAGCCTCTTTTTACCAATTAGACCCCAGGTACCCTGCTGGCAAAGCTTGACTTTCCATAGGTTTGTATCTAAAAACAAGAGGCATTCTGAATTTGCTTTTTCAATTGGTGTCTCACTGCCACCTTGCAAACCACGTCACTGATTCCCAACCCATTTTCCTTATTCAGCCAGGCAGCGACAGACAAACCCATTTCCCTTTTCCACGTCTGCGTCTCTCCATCTTCTACCAAAAGGATGCCGTAGGGACCACGCTTTTTTCTACCACCAATGACTGCTGTGGAACTGAAAATATTCTGCCGGCAAGGATTTGTGTATCCCGGGAAAAAGTTACTCTTAAGAATCTGTCAAATTCATAAAAGTGCTTTATTATAAAAGGAAACAGCGGACCAACATTGCTGTGCCACTCAAAATATTCACAGTGACGTCAAAAGTAACGCTGAACTGTACCAACAGTTAATTACAAAATAAAAATGCGGCACTGAAAAACACAGATCAGCTAGAATGAATGCGAGGTACGGGATATAAATGAAGTTTATTAGCAAAATGATCAGCATGAAATGTACTCCGTCAGCCCTGAGGCATTCATTCTCCCTGCAAGAAATACTGTCAACCTTCTCTGAGATTCTTCCTCAGGAGCCGTGACTCCATGGACTGCCAGGTAGCCCTCCTTATGCCATTACATAAATACAACTGGTAGCAAGACTTGCCTCAAAGGTAAGGAGAAAAGCTGCTCTTGACTTAGATCAATTTTTCCAGAAGGCAGATGCACAATGGAAAAGCACACCCTCGCCTGAGGGTACGGCAGTGCTGTGAGCATCACAGTAAAACTCAGGGAGGGGTGCGTTATTGGATGTCCCCATTTCCAGAGTAAACATCTCAGTCAGTAATTGAACACTCTGGGCTAAGAAATTAGCCAAAAATCAGACAGAAAAATGCAAGAAATGGATCTGTGCATGGCAAGCCTTAGGTGCGGCCCTTGAAACACGTGTTATACTCCCTGCAGCAACTCATCAGTACTTCTCAGGTCACTGGATGACAAACAGTCTAAATTAATATATGATGGAATAAATCACTTCTGATGGAAGAGCTTATTTCCAAAAAAAATGTTTTCTATGTCCCTGCAATCTGTAATAATTTAGGAGCCCAACCCATCCCCACCCTAAATGACATTATCAACTGGAAACGGATTTGAATCGTCTGTTCCAAGAAAAGCCACCGGTGCGTGAGTACATTATGCAAAAGTGTAAGGGATGATGTGGGGGGCAGGGCGAGCAGAGATGGATGAACGTGGAACGCGGGGAATTGGGGGGCGTGGTGCTGGCTGTGCCTAGGGAGAACGGAAATGCATGACCACACGCGGACATAAACGGGCTGCTGAGCGTGCACACCAGGCAGAAGAGGGGACCCTGCAGGGGGCAGGGCTGGTGCAGAGGGAAGTGAGGTGCCCCACAGGACAAAGGGCAGGGGCTGGAGGCGGAAAACAGCTCTTTGGATGAAAAAGTTAAATCTGCAATGGAATCACCTTGCTAAAAGAGCCAGCTGCCCCTTCGCAGCCGTGAGGAGATGCTGTGGGCGGGGCACAGGCAGACCTGCTCGTGGCTCGTGTCCCCACCCAGCCTGTCTCCTCAGACACTCAACAGCCATCGAAGTCTGAGTCGCTCTCCTCTGTTAACTTGGTCTTGCTAAACATCTCTGACAAGTCATTCAACTGCCCCTTTTCGCAGAGGGTTTCTTCCTTTCTTTACAAAAGGAGCAGAGAGTGACATGCTCTCGGACACTCAAGCTGCAATGCCCACCACGATAAGCATTTTAATAATGACTCATCCTCCAAGCAAGACAAGGACGTTCCCAGTTCAAATTATCCTTCAGCTCCTACGTACAGAAATCTACAAGTTTCTACCAGTTAACAATCCACTTGGCCATGAATTATGCAAGTAGAAAAGGTAAAATTCATTTCGATGACAGCTCCCAGACAGGATAGTAAAGAAAACTTGATTCTTTAAGGCCTCCAAATATTTTTTCCTACCATGGAAAGTACTAGAGATTTCTTCTTTTTCTTTTTTAAAGACGATCACATTTTCCTCTTGACTGTAACATTTTGGGGACATTATAAGTATTTTCAGTTATTTAATCCCCTGTTAGAGACTCTGGAAATAATTTTGTATTTAGAAACTGGGCCTGAGTAATTTTCCAGAGTTCTGGAAAAACAGAGGCAACCCGTACGCGTTATGCCACATTCCCTAGCTCTCAGTATCGGGAGCAGAAAAGTCTTGGAGCAGACACTCACCTCTACATCGCAGGTATACTCTGAGCCGTCCAGAAGGATCGCTTTGCACTGCATGCTCTTAGGCTTCTTGACAATCTTCAATGGGGATCGAGACAGTTTACTGCTATATGATTTCTGAGAAAGTTTATCGTCTTCTAATTGCTGATATTCGAGCTGTCTGGCAGCTCCAGCAGCAAACTCCCGTTCCTTGTCAGTGACCTGTGAAGAGCGAACAATGAACAGCTTTCACTGCAAGGCGGGAAATAAATCCTGCGTCGGCCAGGCAGTAATGCAGCACCCTAGAAACAGGCTTCCCCATTTCCTAAAGGACGAGAGATGCCTGGATTAGGATGTTAGAAGTGGATATACCTGTTCAAACACTCAACAATGCTAACACTTACATCCAAGTAACGTCTGCCCTTTAAAATGTCCTCATAGGGCCTATCTCAGTTTGACTCGAGGATTTACATTAGAAACCCTGTGTTATTAGCAGATGCCAACACCATTCCACCCAGCCAAGGAGGATGCAAATGGGCTTCCGACTTCTTAAAAACGCACTGGGTAGTAGAAACCTTAAAAATAAATCAGTCATCTAAGATTTAATCTAATGCATTCTGCTTTCTTCATTCACTGGGTCCTTCTATATTCCATGACCTATAACTGCCCCATAAATATACCAGGTACCTTATAAACTGTAAGGCCCAGAGAGCTTCAAGTATTAATCTTCTCAGTAATTTTACAACTGTTAAAATATTTGATTTAGCTCTAAATCAATTCAATGAAGCCAGCAGCACTGAAATTCATTACAGGGTAATCCCTTAAGTCTGCTTCCCCCTTCACTGTAATGAGCCAGTATAAGAACAGCTCAGATCTGTCCAAAAGCTTTAATCTGCTTTGAAATCACAACAGTCCAGCCCGAGCTAGACTCAGACTGCAGAGGACGTCCTATGTAACCAAAAAAATATGACCTTAAATCGGTCACATCCAATGACTCCTTCCCTGCTCCCCCACCCACCATCTACTGAATGACCACCAATGCAAATTCAACCCACGGGCCAGACCACCGCTTCCACTGGTCTGCAAACACACTCTGAAAGACCAAAGGAAGATACGTTCTGAGATTCAGCCTGGGCCCCTTCAATAAGCACGAAACTTCCTTGCTCGTGAATGTATCATCCAGAGGCTAAAGCACCTGGGCTAAAGGGTAAAACCACACTGATGGGTCCAACCTCTCTTTTTTATTAGCCTCTACACTTCTATAACACTAAGCACAAAGCTTTTTTTTTGGTGTGCAGTTGACTCTTGAACACCAGGGAAGGGGTGGTTAGGGACACCAACCCTCCACACAGCAGAAAATCTGAGTATGACTTGCAGCCAGCCGTCCGTATCTGTGGTTCCGCACCTGAGGGTTCAACCAGCCCCAGATCACGCAGTCTTGGTATCGGAAAAGGGGGCGAGAGGATGGCTGTGTCCCGGCTCTTGGGCAGGTCACTGGGATGCATCCCACCAAGTAAGGGTCCTTGGCTTCACATAGGAAAGAATTCCAGAGCGAGCCACAGATGAGTGAAAGCAAATTTATTCAGAGAGACGCATGCTCCATAGACAGAGTGCGCGCAGGCTCTGACGGTGAGGGAGCGAGAGGCCTCGCGACGAGATGGCATTAGTTTTTATGGGCTCTGTAGCTTCACGTGCTAGTAAGTGGGAGGATTACTGAACCACCTTCGGGAAGGGGCCAAGATTCCCAGGAACAGGGCCACTGCCCACTTTTTGACCTTTTATGGGCAACCCTGGAACTGTCATGGCCCCTGTGGGAGTGCCGTTTACCAGGCTAACACATTACAATGAGCATATAATGAAGTTCAAGGTCTATGGGAAGTCAAGTCTCTGGCCACTGTGGGCCTCAAGGTCTCTGGGAGTTGAATCTCCACCCTCTGGGTGCTAATTGCTGTGTCATTCCTCTCATGGCTTTGCCCTGCCCTCTTCCCACCTGTCTCAGGATTGTAGCATTTACTATCGAAAAAAATCAGCTTAAGCGAACACCCTTGCAGTTCAGCCCCGTGCTGCTTTATTTTGGATTTTAGGAAAAGACTTCTGCTTTTATAGTGGCATCCTCTGTCTCGTTTTTCGTCCAGAGGATTACTAATATCGTCCTTTCCTCCACTAGCCTTGCCCAGGAATTCAAGGCAACGTCTTGAGAAGTCTTCAGAGTAAAACGACACCAAATTTGCTCAGAGAAGAAACCAAGAAAAAACTGAATAACCAGCTTAAAGAGCCAAACTAGTTAAGAAGGCAAGCCTCAGCTAAAACTAGTATATCAAAGCACCTGCTCTGGCAACTTCGGTCCAACTTTTTTGACTATTAGTCTTTCTATATCAAAGCATTAAAAAGTAAGTGCGAAATAGATATAAACTCATTAATTTTGGCCTTAAACTCCTCAAGGTAGTTTAAGGAGAAGTTTGGAAAACTTGAAATTTTATTTCAATAACCATAACATATCTTTGTTAAGTGCTTTATAATTTACATACAATTTCTGCAGGTTTAATCTGCATCTTCAGCTCACAGGCAACCTCAACAGAAGGTACATTTTTATTTAAAGGTTGCCTGTCATCAGCTCTTTCTGTGTATCAGAGAATATGGAATTTCATATTTCCTTTACTAAAATAAAAGTATCTACATGAGACTAAGCACACGGGGTTATTCATAGGTCAACCTGGAAGCCTCTTAAACTGCCACCACGCAGGGGAGGCCTCCCTTCTGGAACAATTGAGACACAGATCCATCATGGAGGCTTATCACGTACATTTTTAAAACAATTTTATCAGCTCTAGAAGAGCAGATGCAGTACTCAAGTAAAAGATGAACCGTAGTCACACAATGACGGCAATTTAAAAAAACATCGGTCTCAGCCACGTCAGCCAGTCCTCTGCTTCATTCACCCTCCTAACAGCTCTGGGAAGCAGGCGCATCCTTACCTGCAAGTGCACATGAGGAGGAAAGGCCCCCTCTGAAGACACTTCCTCCACATCAGCAAACCAGTGAACAGGAATTCAAATCCAGCCAAAGCCCCAGTGCTAGCTGTCACTGAACACGAACACACACGTCATTCTACCTCCAACACAACCGGGCGCCTAGTACCAATCGAAGAATTTCAGAGTGGAAGAATCTGAGAAAGTTCTCTTTTCTGATCTCTTTGCTTTGCAAACGAGGAGGCTGAGGCCCAGAGGCCTTGAAAGAGTTCTGAGACTGGGAGAACTGGGGAAGAGAGACGGGGCTGCGGTCTGAGGCCAGTCACCTTTCCTCTAGCGCCCAGTGTCACTTCTCCTTAACATGTGACTTGAGAATGTCGCCTGTATTTTATAGAGCATCGCTGCGCTTATTCACCTGCTGCATCACGTCTGTATGTAGAAATTCTTCCTCCTCTAGGATTATCCCGCACTCTCCTGTTTATTTCATTTCAGAGTTAAGAGGAAAGAGAGAAACATCCAGTCTCGTCATTTTAAATTTCTGAAGATTTAAAAATAAACAAACAAAACACTACCACCATCACATCTCCACAAAAAGAGAAGATACAGGAAAGCCGTGATGTTAACGACAGCTGCTCAGATTCTGCCTGGCAAGCTGAAGGGTGCCCCGCAGTTCCCCATCACAAAACGTCGGAGACGAGACAGCATCGATTTACGAAAATAAATATTAATCCTTACACAGTTCTAAAGCAGAACTAAAATACTACGAGAAAAGAAATAATCAGGCTGCAAACATATAGTTTAACGGTATATCAATGTGTTTCGTTTTCCACAGACATGCTGACTTCATGTCTCTTCTTTTAACGTCTTCTAGAATTTCTAGCTTGACACAAACCCTTCCAACCTATAATCGCAGGGACTCCTGGACTTCCTCACCCTATGTGAGTCACTATTCTACAATAGTTGACTCCACATTTGAAGTTTTAAGCCAGAGAAATTGAAACATGGATCCATTCAAGGCTCAGGTATAAGCTATGCTTTATATTTTGTATGAAAACTTTAAAAGGAGTAATCACATTATCTGTGACAACTTACACATGTTTAGGTAACAGAGCTGAAAATACACGTGTAAGTGGGACAGGGAAAGAGGCTGCCTTAACAGCCTCTACAAGGAGCTGCCAACCTGAGGGTCAGAGTAGCCCCCAGAAAAAAATCACAAGAGCTCTAACCCCTTGGCTTGAATAAACAACCCCGACTATAATTTGAGTCACTCAGTTAGGAGGTGTTCAGCCTCCCTGTGAACCCAGATAAAACCACTAACCTGCAGTCCAGGTTTCAGGGTGAGTTTAAGTGCTTTAATTAAAGGAAGGAGCTACCAAGCAAGGTTGCGAAATTCACTGAAAGCCTTAAAATAGCATAAATTTCCAACTGCCTGGGACCAGAAGGGGCCAAGCAATGACCCCTCGTGGTTCCCTCGAGTGCTAAGAGACCAAGGGCAGAGCACAGCCTGAACAGCTCAGCAAACACTCCCGGTGGGTTTTCTGCGGGACCCCGGAGGCGCGGGGCGGGCCGGGCTCACCTCCTTCCTCACGGGTGTGCTGTGCGCCGCCGCCTCGAACTCGTCCAGCGCCTGCGGCGGCTCCTCGGCGCCCGGCTCGGGG